GTCCAGGGCCAAAAGCCGGATTGAGCCGTTCCGTTCTGCGCAGGCCTGTTCGATTTTTCGTAGAGCCACGAAAATTGCATCTTCAGTACCGTGTCCTCTTCGAAAACCAAACTGGGACTTCCAGAGCCTAGCTTCAACGCCAGCATTCAAAAGCCGTTGTTTCAAAAGCGAAGCGAACAATTTGTACGCGATGCTCTGAAGACATATAGGTCTATGGTTGTTGGGGTCGGCAGGATCCCCTTTTTTAAACAGCATTGCAACGGAAGCCATGGCCCAATCGCCAGGTATCACCCCATTTTGCAAGCAATGATTGCACAAATCAAGAAGCCACTGCAGAGCTGAATCCGGTTCCATTGCCAAGGCCTTGAACACCTCGATAGGAATATCATGAGGTTTGGTAGCTTTGCCATTCGCCATTTGTTTAATGACTTTTCGCAGCTCAGCGTAGCTGAAATTGCACCAGTTCACATCCAAAGGTTCTCCCAAAGGTGCCTCGGTACCTGGAATTAATGTCGCTGGCCGAACCCTCCACTGAACTTTTTCCAAGTGTTCGGCCAAAGTTTCTGCCCGAAGTTCCGAAGAAACAAGAACCCCTTCAGTGTTTCTGAGGCGACCCTGCTTGACACGACGGCCTTTTCGAAGCTGTTTGACAGATTTCCAATCTCCAGACGACACCAGGTCCTCAAGCCATTTCGAACGATCATCTTTTGCCGACTTTTTGACATCATTTCGCAACTGCTTCTCTAAGTTCCAGTTACCGTTTGCTCGGGCTTCACGTCGGCGACGTAGAAGTTCCAGTGTCCGAGAACTGATCCACGGTTTATTTGCTCTGGCGCTCAAGATGGGCACATGTTGTTTGATAGCTGTTGCAACCGCGGAGCAGGCTGTATCCCAAAATAAGTTTGCATCTGTAACCTCGACATCCTGCAAGTTTGTTGAAATATTTTGGCAAAACGCCCGCCGAGTTTCAGGGTTTTGTAGTGTGGCCCAGTCCCTGCGAGAAGTAGTGCAATGGGTAGGACTGCGCCTTGAGAATTCCATCTGAATTTTGGCGGTAACTGGGAAGTGACTTGAAGCAAGGGTTGCGAGCCGGTCGCTGGAAACATAGGAAATGTCGTTGACATCTCCTCGGGAAACAAGTAGAAAATCCAACATGGCAAAAGAGTTGCAAGTAATCGGTGCAAGGGGTGGAACCCCAGGTTCATGATAGGTGACCTTCTTGTCAACGGAGACGTCGCAGAAAGTGTTTGCAATTTCTAACCCATGAGTGGCACAAAACTCCAACAGGAAGTCGCGATTGGGCATTTCCACCTGGTGTCTGGCTTCCAGCCCAAAACTGTGTGGACCAACGATGCCGTGTTCACCTGGACGTGATGGGCCAATCCGTGCATTGAAGTCACCAAAGAAGTACTTGGGGCCATTTGTCGAAGTATTTGATGCAACCTGATTAAGTTTCTCGTAGAAATCCCATTTCTCCTGCTGCGGTCTCAAGTTATGCGGGGCAAGAACCGTGATAATTGCAAAGGTCCCACCTCGGCATTTCAATTTCAGGCTAGCGATTCGGTCATTTATTTGACAAAACCCTCGGCGATGGCGCCTGAGACGCGGAGAAATGACAAATCCCACTCCATACCAATCAGTGGGACCATCAGAAGAACCTGAAAGAATAAATTCATAGCCATTGCATTTGAACACATCCGATTTGCTCCTTCTGGCTTCTTGCAAACAGCAGACATCAACATCGAAGCGAAACATGTAGTCAATGATCTCAGTCTCCTTGAGTAGGGATAGCCCCTCGATGTTCCAAGACATGATTTTGAGTTGGCTCATATTGCGGGCACCACCACTGCCTTTATCAAAACTGTCCGTTGCTGACCCCCAGCAACGGGGTGAAACATTTCCCATGTTGTCCACACGCCGCCGTGGCCCCTACTCGGGGCCTTTGCCCTTCCCCTTGTTGGAGGCGCGGGCTTTTGCTTTTTCCAAGCGTGCCAAAGCTTTGGTGGTGATGTCAGCCAATTCGGTTGACTGCTGTAGTGCTTCCCATGTCTGCCATTCCCCATCACACCAGTCAAAACTCAATGAAAAGTTTTGGACATACACTTTGACAATCTCCCTCCCAGCGACTGTGAGGATGCCCGTGTGAATGTCGTACTTGATGCACGCTGGGTTGAAATTCCACGAAATGAGCATGCGTTTCATGGCATACAAGGCGCCTTCTACAGTGCGAATGTTGAAAGGCAAGTCAACCTTAGCGAAAAGCTGGGCTGGCAAAGGTTCTCCGCCATTGGACGCCTTGGCGTGTTTTGCGGCATCACGAATGCTCTGGATGAAACGGTCACGGTGAGCTTCACTTTGACATTTCACGAACACCAAATTGGAAAATGGCCCCTTTGAGTATACATCTGATGGACCTGGCAAAGCGATCCCCGAAGCACGGCAATGTTTGCCCAGCCACTCCCTTGCCTCATCCAATGTGGACGCTTCCGGGATATTCCCTACCACCATGGACAAGAACCTGGAGCTATCAACTTCCCGACCCTCAGGGGATTCCTTGCCGACGTGAATCTTACCCATCTTCTGCTCCAATTCCGTCACATGAGCTACGGTGTCTGTCATCATTTGTTCATTTGACGTGATTCGCAAGCCCATGTCTTCCAATTCCGCCCGCACAGATTCTTTGAAGGCTGTCAAGTCTAAGCGAATCTGTTCCAAGAATTGGTGCAAGGGATTTAGCTTCTTATCCAAAAGCTGTTCAATCGCGCTCAAAGTGACAGATTGTGATGGCCCTGCACGGTTCACACCAGTGATGTGAACACCATCATCAAGCCCTTCATCCCCTCGCAGTTTCTTTTGCAGCGGACTTTTGATTGGTGTTCCCATGCCTCCGTACCCCCACAAAAACTCTCAAACAGGAGGTACTTGAGCCTTGAGCCAAAATGGCACACTGCTTGACACACCTCGTAATGCTTGTCGTCCGGTCCCAGTTCCAAGCCTCGCGCTGAGGCGCCCGTTACTTCCCATTGCTGTGAGACAGACGCCCTGCGTCTTCGCCCGGTCTGAAGCATCTCATGCATAGTAAGGACACAGACTAGTGATTGCAAAGAGACTATGCTACAAGTATCAGGGAAGGACACAAACAAATCATCCGACTGATAGATGTTCAATCAGCAGGTGGATAATTTGTCTGTGTCCTTGCCTGATAGCAGAAAATGCAGCTGTCTCTTTGCAATCGACCTGGGAATTCGCCTCAAACCCAAGGTTCAGAAGTAGCTTGAGCATCGCGAGCTTTCCCCTTGAGGCCGCGCAGAGAAGCCATGTCTGACTATTCTTGTCCACCTCAGCCAGGGCAACGCCTTTGCGCTTGCAGATTTGCGCTATTCGCTCCGATCCTCGCCAGATGCGAGCTGCGCAAAAGATACAATAGCAGCTTCCATTTTCTGTTCCATCATTATTATTACTATTGTCATTATTCTTACAATTATTACCGCTATCATTTAAAGAAGTTCTGATTGAGAAGAGTATGACGGCAAGCCATCTTGGGTGCTTCTATAGTCTGTTTGGCTTCTGCAGACTCTCCATTGCGGACTTCCAAAAAATCGCCGGTTGCGCTTCGCAGGCCTATTTGCTGCGTGTCTGATGCTCTGGACCGCAGCTTTGGCTAGCAGCTTTTCGGGCAAGACGTGTTGCAGTTGAATATTCAGCCATGTATTGGTGCTTCTGCCTGGATACATTTTCCTTCAGCATTGCTCTAGGTTGCTCTCCGAAGAACAAAGAGGCAAGAGGCTGCAACTTTTGAATCCGTGGATGCTTTGCCAACACGTTGTCAAAGGGCGGCCGATGCTCACGCATCGAAACATTGGTAAACCTCAGGGATCCACAGCTCAAATTGACTCAAGACTGTTGAAAGTTGTTCTTCGAAGCATGCAGATCCTCGCTGGCCTTGAAAAAGAGCGCAATGAGCCATAGAACAAAACACGTTGTGGTGCAGAAGTAGGCCTGCAGTGTCAAGGGCATCAAGCGGCATCAGCCTTTCACTCGCTGCATCCCATCATTCATCAGATCCCCAGCTTCCATTATCCCAATATACTAATTTTTTCCCATCATCCACACATATCCCCAATATAACCCCTATATAACCCCAAAATAATCCCTATATATCCCCTATATAACCCTATATCATCACAATCCTGAAAGTCGGTCTGCAAGGTGAAGGAGATCATCAGGGACAAGCCAGCGCTGATAATCGCCCTGCCAGCACATGCAGACAAGCCCCCAAGGACATGCAGGCTGCGATCCAAGATCTCCTGATGGTTTCAAGCGTATAGCGCAACAGACAAGATCTGTGCTCTAGGGCTTTGGATATGACCTTTGCAACCTACAGGTGTTCACCTGTTGTGCATATTGGATTTCTCAGGCTTAAACATACCCATGTGTGACTTGGGCGCTGGCCCAACCACTACAAGGGCTATGGACGCACCCATCTCTTTGACATTCGGCTTCTGCACCTTATTAAAGAGAGGTGACCAGATGCATGTGACAATGGGAGGGGGTTCTCAAAGTTGGAGTTCCCTTCTGCTTAGCTAGCCCACTAGTTTTGTGTGAACTGCAGGGTCGGCCTTAAGGCTTTGGATGGCTTTGGTATGGGAAGCTGTCACCAAGGCCCTCGCCGCGCCCACGTTGCCCATGTCGTCTCGCACCGGCTCCGGACGATTGCGCTGCCACACGGATGCAGAAATCTCCACACATGATGTCACGAGGCTAAACAAGTGCAGGTTCCTGGTACACCAGACCCATGGCCGATGCTGCTGCTAAGCCAATGAAGTTGGTCGCCTGAGTGGGAACCTGAGTCCGCAACAGGCTCAAAGCCCCCCGGTTCGACATGAACTACACCAAGGACACCACACAAAGCCCGAACAGTGCAAAAGCACCCAGGAGTCCGCTGGCCCTGTCAGACAGCATAATTTGATTTCACACGTCTGTGGTCCCAGGACGCAAAGACTGTAGAGCTATGGTGATGGCACTTCGCGCACCGCACATTGAAAGGTAGGCCAAGGAGGTTCAGGAATTTTGTGTTCAAGCGCCAGCCGTCAGCACAGAGATGTTTTTTGCGCTTCGAGCGCTTTTCAACGAGCTGAATTCTGATGCAGCAGGGCCAGTGGCAATGTGTTTGCGATTGGCCATGAAGGCATCTGCATTGCTGCAGATACACAACTGATATGTCGAGCAAGCAATTGCTTCGTTCAACGTTGTGCCGGTTGATGCAGCGGTTTCTCACACGTGAAGCCTAAGCGACAATTTAGCCACCCAGGCACTGACAGTCAAGTTCGCATCACGTCCGCAGCAGCAAAGGAATCCGATGTGTCCATGGGATCTTGCAAGGGGCTGGCGCACGGTGCGATGCCTGGTTCCGTGTGATCCTCGCTTTGTGCAAGTCGGTCACCCTGCGACACCCTCTCGGCGACCCTCTCGGCGACCCTCTCGGAGACTTTCTCGCGTCTGTTCGGGTCGTGGAGGATCGGTACATCTTCGACTGAATTCTCTTGTCGGCAGAAAGTTACATCAAGGTGTTGCGCATCACCCTTTGCAAGACAATCACAGAGCCACTGGCTAGGCTTCGTGAAGCCTTGCCCATTTTCCTTGAGCATCTTCACTCTCTTGGAGAATGGGTCTTCAAACAGGCTTGCCGGAAGCCTTGGGGGTGAGGAAGTGTAATAGCCAGGGAAACCAAAGAAATGAATGGCCGGAACAGCCAAGAAAGAAGCGTCACCAAAAAGATTTGAATTGTGCTCCATCTTCTGTGGAGTCACCAGCAATTTACGCGCACGACATCTTTTGAAGAGTCTCAGTGAATGCTCAGTTGGAATAAGGCTATCTGCTTCACCATGAATAAAGAGAGAAGAGCAAGACACGTTGGCGATGATTTTGCTGTTAGGAAATCGTTCCGTGAAAGTCCAGGCGGCCATGCGGCCCACGATACTCCGCACAGCTGCCTTGATCGAGGAGAAAGCAGATACTAGAATTAGACCTCCCACCGGGTACTGCGCGGCAAGAAACACGGCCGGTCCGCTTCCCAGAGAGCGGCCGAAAAGTATGATCTGCGAATATCTTACTCCAATTTCGTCCACCAGGAAACGGAACGCAGTGAGCGCCACTTCGTAGACCGCATCCTCTGTGGGTTCCATGTGGTGTAGAAGCCCGTAGCCAGGATACTCCACTGCAAGGACGTTAACCTTGAACTGGTCACGGACGTGCCTGAGAACGGCGAAAGACATCCCAAGGTCCTCAGCATTTGCGTGAAAGAACAGGATCACGCTTGCTGCCTTCGGCGCTGGAAACCACAGGCAGGGAATGCCAAAAGTTGCCTCTGCTCCGTCCCTCCTCTTTGGTGAGATGACGGTATTCCATGGGATCCAGCACAGGTTTCTTTTGTAGGACTGCGGGCCATAGGAAGGCCGAGGCGCAGGGAAAATGAAACGGTTCTCGAGGTTCTCTAACATACCCCACACATCTCCACACCGGGCCACTGCCCAATTTGAGCCAAACTTGGAGAAAGTGGCACCGAAAGAAGTGCTGGCAAAGAAATGCTGGCTTTCCATGTTGGCCAGTTCTCGTCATGTAATGACATGGACCAAGGGCGCACCATCGGAAATGTTTTGTGTTGGGCGGCTCGATCATCTGCCGCACCCCTGGAGGCACGTAGCCGGCCACGTATTTATGGAAAAGCCTGGCACAGAGGACGTGGGCTGCGGGCGCATGACAACTTCTTCGAGGCGAGGCCCTGCTTCCCAGATTTCCCAGGCTCCTTCGCGGAGAGTCCCCGAGCTCTCGGAGACGATTCGCTGCCTGCTTTGCGCGCAGGGCTTCCTCCTTCCTGCGCAGCTGCCGAAGTAAAGAACAATTTCACCAGCGGCGGTGCGCCCGAGCTCCCCGCTCGGAGAGCAGCTTTGTCATTATCCACAGGTTGGCGGCCTCGACGCGCTGCAGGGCCGCCTCAAAGGGGGGGAATTCTTCAATTTAGGTTAGCGAACTCAAGTCTGATAAGTCTGCACTTCCCCCATAGCACGCCGCTTAAACAAAAACTGCCTCATCTGAGGAATACTTTTTTCGAAGCCGCGAGGCAGCCTTGGAAACCTGCGAGTCGAAAATTGATAGGACTCGTCATTTTCCATGTTTGGCAGCTCTGTGCCCACCTGAGCCTTGGAGGCATCCGGGGAGAGACCTAATGTCCGGTACCTTACAATGGACTTTGAAGTCAGAGACTCAAACGCTGACATCGCTCACTCAGGAGGCAGCATTCGCAACCATTCCCGTGGGCTGAGGCGCTCAGCCGACCAGCTGGCATGGAGCTTAGAATGGGCTTGACAGGAATACCGTCTTCTTGGTACCGAGTTGAATCCTGGTGGCCTGTTGCTCGGGGTCGTCCAACTCAGGGTCGAAGCTGCGCTTCGAGCCGTCGAGAGCTGCGGCTGGACCTCAAAGGCGCTTAGTTGAACTTAGCACAGCTTAGCTCTTGGAAAGGTCCGCGCTGGTCGTTGGCCACAAAACCGCGCAGCTGCCCGGCCCTGTACGCTTGCTTACTAGACTTACCAGTTCATGTTCTGGTCCGCCCTTTTGCTTGAACAACCGCTGGCCTGAGAGGGATGCGGTGATAGGAAAGCTAGCGCCGAGAGGCTGACAGCACCTCAGCAGAACCAAGGGCGGTGCTCCTTTATAACTCTATAAATACAACTTTGATCGCGCCAAACGAAGCCAAACAGCAGCTCTGTTCACTTCAACTGCTTGGCAAAGGTCCGTTCCCCATCAGATGGACTAGGACCCATGCTTAAAAGGCTCGACGCTGCCAATAATCTGACGCCTAACTTGCGCGTCACCTTCAGGCAGTAGGGCTTGCAGCTCCCAACATTCGTACCGCACGTTCAGGATTTCAGAGGCTGAGATTCGCGCCTGCATACGGGTGTGCCCACGTGCCAAAATGCTCGCAGGCCCCCGGGCCTGCCAAGATCTGCCAAGCAAAGGAATCGCTTGCGAGACCGAGGGAAGCAGATGTGGCCAGCTGCTACTTAGGTACTTGGCCCCCGACCATGGTCTGCACAAAATCTGCCATGGTTACGCTTGATTTGAGCCGTTCATGAGATGGAAGCTACCGCAACAAGACAGCAGGCGGGCAGTGCCAGCAAGAGAGTTTGCATGCGCACCATGCTTTTTTGCGGAAAACCTAGCTTCCTCGCAGATGTGCTCCAGCCGTTGATGCGGCGCCTCACGCACGGTCTCTCACGCTCTTGAAGCTGGGCTTGGCAGAATCAAAGATCTGGGAACGGCTCTCGCAGCTCCTCCACTGGCATGCGCAAGCTGGGCATTGAGGGAATCTACGGCGCCCCCTGAGCTGTCGGTGAGGCCAAGAACGAAAATGTTGCCCAGTTTCAGGTTCCGGCTGCCAGCATCTGCAGTGGTTTGTACAGAGCATGATGCTGAGATGGTGTAGAGGACCAAGAGGTGAGCCTCGGAGAATCTTGGAGACACCCACTCAATCACTCTACAAGGTCGGCCACGCAATCAATCTTCAATCTCCGAGGCACGTAGAAGACCCACAACCAGGCCTCGCTCTTCAGCAACCGCTCCTGCGGTGAAGTTGAACAAGGCCACTGGTCACTGGGCAATCAGGGACAATCTCTTTGGGATGCTGTCAGGGTCCGTGAAACTACGGAGACCACCCAGCGAAAGGCGGTGAAGTGCAACGGCAACAGCTGCAAAGTGAGGGCCTCCCGATGCCAAAAGCCAGTACTTGACTGACTTGACTCCCTGGTCTGCCCTGTTCCGGGTTACCCAACTGCTGGCGGGGGCGTAGCATGCTGCAAGGTTTTCTCCACAGCACTTCCCACCAACGAGGCCTGAACTTTCCCTGATATTGCTGGCAGGAGAGGCCTGTGACAGCTGCAAGCTTCAATTCCCAGCTTGGTCTCATGGTTGCCGCAACGGCATCCTGCGAGCGCAGACGCCTCCATCAGAGAAACGTGAAAATCTGAGAAGCACAGCATCTGACCTTCACTCTGAGCCTCTGCAAATTGGCGCACCTTCAAGGCTGCAAGCTCAGCAAAGCTCAGCAAGTCTCAGCAATCTCTGATCGTCATCTCCGCCCTTGAACGCCCTTGAAGCGAGCCTGGTCTCCAAGAGGTTGATCCTCTTCTGCAGCTCAAGTACCTGAACTTGGAGGTGTTTGGGGTTAGGATCAGCACAACAAACCCAAAAAACAGATGTTAAATCACGTTCTGGGCAAACCCCACCTCAGGAGTATCCGAGGTAGAGGGCGGCATCTCCACGCGCTCCTTGCGCGATGTCACATCACAACCCAACATCAGTTGAATCAGGGCATGCTATAGAGCCTCGCCAGGCACTAAATGCGCACTGGGTGATGCCTCCAAGCCTCAGCAAAGTCATCGAACTGATCAAGCACAAGTTGCAAGGAAGTCCTAACCACAAAGAATCTCCTGTACTCCAGGAAGCCTGCTCTGCATTCTCTGGCTGAGGTGTGAGCAGTACGTGGAGCGAAGAGCCTCCAATTCATGCCTGACAGGTCAGCATAGTACGTATGTACCAGCCCATCCTCAGGAATTTCTAAGACCGTTCCAGGCAGTCACCATCAATGCTAGGAAATAACGAAGACTGTCAGTCTGTTCATGCCTGGTAGCCGTGGATTCAACTGCAGCAGCTTCAGCATTGACCTTGGAAAGGGCCCAGCCACTGCAAGGCACATCAACAGGACGCATTTGGGCAACGTGTTTGTTTTGGACTCCTCTGCCGTTCCCTCAATGGCGTGCGGCTTTTGCGACGTGTTGTTTTTTCATCGCGCTGGTGAGCATTCAAGGTCTTGCCAGTGTTTTCCTCTGTGGACACTACTTCATGTGGCATCCTTCTCCATGGGGAGCCAATTCATCTTCTTATGGTGACATTTGCCCTCGCGGCACGCACGAGCGCGGCGGAAACATGATTGATGCTGAATCGACCACCCTGAAGCCCACCTTCTTGTAGCATGTGATGGCCGGATTGGTCGTTTCCAGCACGGTCAACTTGACTTTTTCATGTTTGGAGCCCTTCTTCCTTAGATTTACGTCTGCAGCTCGGAGTAAAAGTCCATCAAGACCTGAGCCTCGATGAGACAGATCTACTTTGCCGTGACAGATTTCGAGCGTCTGCCGGCTGAACGCGCCTTAGACATAGCCAGCGATATGCCTGCAGCTAAGGCGTACGACGAATCACATGAACCGTTGGCCGGAGCTCAACAAGCTCTGCAGCATCTGCTATCTTCTGTGCACATAGGTAGGACTCTTTTCACGAGCGCCGCAGGCGCTTGGCGCAGTTGCGCACTGGTCCACACACTTCGTATTCGTCATTTTCGACAACCGCATTTCCCAATCGCTTCGGGACAATCGACTCTCTGTTGCCCGTCCCAACTCCCAGCGTGTAAGGAAGCCTCGAACGCAGGCGCCCAGACTCAGTTGCCTTCCATTTGAGCTGAGGCTCTGTTCTGGCGGAGTCATTCCATGGCTGGAAACTAATCATCTCCAGCAAGGCCCCACGTTGAAACAGCAGATTTATGACGTCCGTATGCCCGTGCCCGACGGCATAAAGTAATTCCGTCTCCTTCCATTGGTCTAACAAGTTTAACTTCGAAGCTTATGTTGAGCAACCGTCGTCAAGTTGCCGCGTGAAGCGGCACAAAACGGGGCACTTTGACATTTTTTGTCAGCAGATGCAAAGATGATGCGGGCCAATTGCGCGGACCCTCGCCGGATCCGAGCTGCACAGAAAGAAAGCTTTGGCTCAGAGAGCTGTGATGCCAAGCCATCTTGGCTTGTTGCAGCGCTTGCTTCGAGTCTCTGGTCACCGGCTTCATGTCACTATCTTAAGCCGGAGGGTACTTCCTGGGAGCCTCATGGTTGTGGCTTGCAGCCTTGCAGCCTTGCAGCCTTGCAGGCACGACGAGTGCCTGAAATCCATGTCTCCATGAGCCGACACCACGTCGCGCGATAGACAAGTGAAAAGCAGCCGGACC